GACTCTATACACTGCACATTAATTTTAGAGTACTTTAATTTGTGTAATTAGACTTATCCACCATTTGATATAAAACAGAAGAATTTGCAATATGCACTGTATTAAATAATGTTAATTAACTCAAGTATCCTAAACATTACATTAGAACAAGGTAGAGTAGGTTGAATGTTTTTTTTTCCATTTTGAGTATTTGCTTTATCAGTACTTTATTGTCTTTAAAGATATTTCCTGGGTAAAAAAAAAAAAATGCACGTTACCTATGTAAAAAATCAAATATACAGTTTTAGTATGTATTCCTTTTGCTAAATACTTTTCTCAAAGTCCAAAAACATTTTTCATTATTGTATAAAGGTTCCTTAAACAAAAGATGGAAAAATCTAAAATAATTACAGTATAAAAAGGATTTTTTTCTTAATTAAAGGCAATTGCGATTTTTCTTTTCAGGTTTTTGACTTATTATTAATAATCGGATTTATGTAGTGAATGCGTTATAAATCCATTTATCACAGCGCACCACGTGGAATGATGCGCGCGCAATATATGCGCAAGCATTTGTACATTCTATTCTCACACCATTCCAAATGTCATCTTGTATGCCTACATCAGTTATTAGTATAATATATTTTCACTGTTGTATCAATTACATTTTTAAAAAAATGCACAAGAAAATACTAAATGGACAGTTAATCGATCATTCTGTTAAAATCAGTGGGCTAAGGCAAAGAATAAGCTAATCATTACAAATGGTCTGTGTTGCATTTAGTAGAATCTAAATTTAAGCACACCCCGTTCAACTACAGAGTTTAAAGCAATATAAATATAATTATGCTCACGGTAAGATTGGGTTTCATAAAACCCCCAGTGACTTGAATTAATTTAAGCTCAGACTCTTAAGATCACGCGCTCGGCATCGTCGGTCATTGTTCCGATGTTGTAAGCGCCCGAGTATGTACTTCATGGAGCCTTAATGTTATCGATATATGAGGCTATAATAATAAGACTAATCTATTTATTCACCAATCAATGAGCTTTGAAAGAGGGGCATGTATTATTTATAAAAACAATACAATTACTTTTATAGCAAATAATGGCTGCATAACGTGCAATATTAACCTGATCCTCACTTGTAATATTTAACTGTCCTCGCTAGCATCCCTCATACAATTGAAAGACTAGTGTTTTGATGTCAACTATCGTTACTTATTATGTATATATGTGCACATTGTTATAAAACATGTATTTTAAGCTTGTTCTCCCTTTGATTAACATCTTCGTGTCCGTCCTCAACAAACCAGCAACCACGGTCTGGGGAAACACTTTTTGAAACAGAAAGCCTTAAATTTCGTTACTCCTAGGCATTCAGTTGACAAACATCGGTCATTCTTAAGTAAATATTAAACTACTTTCAATATTTATTCATGTCATGTTCCAACAAAGCAACCTCCGATGCTGAAGAGTTCCAGCAATAGTCTGCTTCAAATACTTCGTACTATGGTTCATTTCTATAGGAAAAATTAGTAGTACAAAGTATTTGAAGCAGACTATTGCTGGAACTCTTCAGCATCGGAGGTTTAAACGAATAGCTTATTGCTATGAAAAATCAACAACTTTATATTTTGATGGATTTAAACCTTTCAGAGGTAAGAAACGAAAGTTTTATGGTGATAGGGAATTAAAAGGATGTCCAAAGCAAAAAGTTGAAGCGGACAGCTAATTCATTTCAGCCCGTATTAATCGAAACAAGCGGTCGAAGTCCGGGCACGAAACCCCGAATGAGATTATGTGATACTGGTCTGAGATCCGTAGAAATACCAGACCAAAATTTTATTCTCTACGGATCTCGCTGAGATTAGGAGTGAAGAGCAAATTAATTAATTAATTGAAATTAATTTCAGCAGATTTGTATCAGGGCAAATTCAGTATATGTTGATGAGTGAATTCGCTATGGGCGAATGGCTGTTCCTTTTTCCTTAACACCTCTATCAAAACTAGGCCCGTAAATCAGGGAGAGGTATCAATATTCACATAACAATAAAGCAAAAATTTTATAGATGGAGGGCCATAATCGGTATAATAGCACGATTGATAAGATCTTTACCTGGCAAAATGGATACTAAAATCGTTTTTAGACTAGTATCAAGAAAACCAGATGATTTTTTGCGTACTTGGCTTCGAATAACTACTATGTCAAACGCCTTCCATTTGTTGTTACACATTGTCACAAATAAATGAATAAATAAAGTGATTAATAAATTAATTAAACACAAATGAAATATTATCTTTTTTCACTGGGCCGTCAGGTCACAGTCTGGTTCGAAATATGAAACGCACTTATTTATCTTGATATCTTTCTGTTTTGCAAGTTCAGCTATCTCCAACATTTGCTCAAAATTGATGACACGTTTGGCATTTTTTGTCCGCATTGGGAATTCTTTAATGCGTTGAACATTTGTTCCCGTCACAACAATTAATTCATCTGGGTTTGGAAATTGATACATGTCAAGTTTGTATTCTGACGAAAAGCTAATTAAACCTAAGATTTTGCTGATAGGAAGGGCCAATAAATCTTAAAAGTCACTTCAAATGAAATGCAATTCTTTCAGTGCCGTCTTCTCGCGCTGTTACCAGCGTTCCCACGATGCAATGATTGGCATAAAAATGCAGCAGCTTTTCATTCGTAACCATTTGTTTTATGTCATTTAAAATTTTGAATCACTCTATATTTATTTCTTTCCGATATGGCTGATTAAGCAGCAATATTCTTTAGCTGAGCACGGTAAGCGCAGACGAAAGGCATACTGGCTGCGGGAAAGCCAGCATATGGTTATACACCTATAATTGTAGTAAAGTTATTTTGGTTACGATTAGATCACACAACTTTATAAACAGACGTCAAAATATGTAAGATCTGTACAGTTTGGGTTGGTGTTTACTATATTCATAAATGACTTATACACGTTTTTAGATTTTACCTCCATCTTAGAATTACTTGATCTCACTTCACATGTTATCATCACGGAAGTACTCTTTCATTTATTAACATTACTTACATATACAGTGTCAAATTTTACAATATACAGATACATGTACTGTAGATTATTTAGTATACACATAAATTGTCTGTACTGTTTGTAATTGTAGAAATCAAATCATTTTGTTGTTTGTGATGCCTGAAAGGGCCCTGATTTGGAAATAAAGAATCTTATCTATCATACTAAATATCAATAAATAAATAAATAGTGTTTTCCATCTCATGTTCTGATTGATGCTAATATGTATCCAACAGTAGATAATTAACTATCTTTAGTAAGAAACCCTTTTTATACTAAGCACTTTAAGTTCAAACTCAGCATTGCATAAGTAGAACCTCGTCATAAACGAGTACTTTCATCACGTAGACTTTAAACTGCAGGGGGGGGGGGGGGGGGGGAGAGGAGGAGGAATCAGATTATTCTCCTTTTTAAAGTTTTTACTGCATTTTGAATTTTCAAAATTCTTAGGGATATGGATAAAAGACCAATAAATGTTCCCGTATCACTTATGTCCAATGTTCAATTAAATATAGAAGAAAAATAAAGTACAGTGTGTTAGTTTGCATCTTCATTTTTAATTGGTAATAAAATTTTATGCAATATATGATAACATTGAGGAGTTATATTTATTTGTGCTGAACAAACTCTATACTTATACTATTGTTAGATATTTATTTATCCAGTTACATAATACCAGGGATATACATGTATACTACTACATACATGTATAGGCATGTATAAGTCCCTCTGATATTTATATATTAAACATTGAATGTCTAGATTCAAATGGCATGTTCAGTATACTATAAATGTATATTTATTTCATGTTTATCTCATAAATAATGTATTGACATCTTTTATAGTCTTTGAATATTTTATGTATGATTTTCTCATATTTTTGGGAAGTTTATTAATTATTCCTGGTTAAGTCGAAGGTAAACTTGCTTTGAATTATCGTAGTCCTGTATATATAAAGAATATATGTGATAATATTCTGTAGTTGCCACTAAAATGTTGTTGTATTTTATAAAATTGCAAATATAACAGAGGAAATTCGGAATGAATATTTCAAATATCATGGCGTAAAATACCATAAAAATGAAATATATAACTATTATATGTCACAATTACTCCAAATTGTTATCTTTTTTCTTGCAGGGGGGGGGGGGGCAAAAATCTTGCTTGTAGATATTAAAAACATTCTGTAGACTAAGGATTTCAGAAAATGAATAGTAAATTTGAGCTACATAATTTGTCCGATTACCTGATCCTTTTTTACTTTGTAAATTAATCAGGAACCTTTGAATAATCATCAGATAGAAATCTGAATAATTTGCATTATATGGCCTTTTGTATTTATTGAATTGAATTTCATGTGATTTTTTGAAAACGGAGATTTGAAACATAACAGAGGAAATTCGAATAAAAAATATTTATTGAATATAAAGGAATTCCTGTTTTCTTTTCCACGGTTCATTTTAGGAATGACTCTAATTATTGGCCAAATTATTCGAGTATAACCTAGATTTGTTCAGTTTACGCTTTATAATCTGCGAAGTAGTACCTTCTCTCGGAAATAGACAGTTCTATGGTCTAGTATAATGTTTAGAATACTTGGGTTAATTACAAATTAAATCATATATATATATATATATATATATATATATATATATATATATATATATATATATATATATATATATATATATATATATATATATATATAAGGATAGGTCTAACTACAATAAAGTACCCTTAATTTAGTATGCAGTGTAGTAACATTCCTTCCTAAGTCGTTGTTTGATAGTCCTTGACACAAGAAAAAGGAAGGTTTTTGTAGTTTGAAGAGTAAAATAAGGAAAGTGTTCATACGAATAAATCATCAAACACATTTAACGTAAGGAAGGGAGGTACATGTAGTAAAAAAAGATAATTCCTTTTCTTGAGTCTTTTTATTTTCATTAAAAAGCAGATTGGTATACCTCTGATGACGGCGCGCCTTGGGACTCCTAAAGACGCCAGAAACATCTCTCAAAAAACGAAGATGTCAGGTTGCTGTAGCAACATCACGGCCATCACTTTTTTCCTACTGCTAGGAATGCAGATTATCTTTGTTGATTCAAGGGATTATCAGAAACAGAAGAGATTTACACGAGTAAATTATTTATTATTTTCATTTACATTGATTATAAATCATTGCAAATTATTATTCCTTGTGAACCAGGCTTAGGGTAATGCTAAATGTAATGGTAATGTTTTGCAGTGCATTACATAAACTTAGAGTAATGCTAGTAATGTGTTATGACGAAAATTCTGCATTACATGTAATGGTATTGTAATGCAGTACTTCCTCAAATCTTGAGTAATGCTGGCATTACATAGTATTACAAAGCATTATTTTGTATATATATATCTTATTGGTAAAAATTAAAAATGGACAGGGAAATTAGTTTTAATTATTGTTTAGATTAAATACTTTTTTCAGTGATAGAGATGGATGAAAAAAATGAACCTATAATTATATTTAAATATACTTTATGGTTACCTGATATGGCGGTGCTCTGTTTGACACAAATGAAAACGCAAGGTTGGAATTGAATGGTCATTTATTAATAAATATGTCAACACATAGTATAATTGTCAATACCAAACACAATTAAACACATTAGGTAATAGAAACAAAAACATATAGCAGAAACCATCATAAAATCTTAATGTCACAGTATTATGCAATGAAATACGCTTTCTGTATCTATTTAAACTCACTTTATATTCTGTTGAAAGTTCATGATCAATTATCACACATTTAAATTTATTTTCATACTTATTTTAGAGAAAAAGATCAATTTCAAGGAATATTTAAAAGAGGAATTTTTTAATTCCTTTAAAAAAATTCTGGTATGAGGTACACTAATTACATGTAATGTACATGTACACTATCAACCTGATTATTGCCACCTTTTGATTAGAGTGTCATTAAAACACACAATGCCTCTATGGTTATGTAAAAATTAAAACAATGCATTGTTTTGAGAAGTGCTACAAAAATCAGTCCCTTTCTCCTGACTGTGTTGATGAAACATTAATTAAGCTGGTCTAGATTGAGCTGACCGTGACAAATCCATTGTACCAAAATGAATAGAAGACAGGCATTCTACTTTTCGCAGAGCAATCATAAATACTGTCCAACCCCTTTTACAAGTTTTTCATTGCATTTAATTTCTATCATAATTTAAAAATATGTATAGATGTCTTATTAATTTAGATAGTTTTAGGAAGGGTTAAAGTTTCCTAAAACTTAAATTGCTTTATGATATCAATAGCTACACAAAAATTAAGTGCGTATTGTACATGTTTTCATCTTATTGGCAAATGAAACGTTTGAGCTTCTTATAAATAAAAAAAAATATCTAAGTTATTTACAGTGTAATAAATAAAAGTTCTTGAAATCGAACTTGAATTCTAAGTTTTGAAGGTGTGGGTGCATAATTATGAAAATTGTTGCACAAGTTTTACATTTATATTAAAAAAGAAACAAAATAAAAAAAAAAAACAAACAAAAGTAATAGTAATGGTAATGTATTACTTTACTAAAGTAATCGTAATGTAACGCATTACTTTATGAAATTAGAGTAATGGTAATGGTAATTTAATGCCCACATTCTTGAAATAATGGTAATGCAATGCATAACTTTACAATGTAATTCACTCCAAGCCTGTTGTAAACCAAATAAAAAAAATAGAGCATTGAATATTTGAATATATTTGTATCCTGTGAGAATGCTCTGCGTCTAGGATTAGTGTTAGATGAAACATAGGGTAAATGAACAGTAATGAAGCTCAAAGCCCATTGAAAAAATACATATTGGGAGTAGAGCAAACACGGACATCTAACAACAGAGGTGGAATCAGGTACCATGGAGGAGTAAGCATCCCCTATCGACCGTTCACACCCGCCGTGTGCTCCTTGTCATGATCGGGCAAAGACAATTCAGTGTGTAAATATTGTATCAAAAAATGACAGTCACAATTCGACTTAATGATAATTGTATTTGCTAACAACGTCATGTATGACAAGGTCAAGGTATGTGTATAGAAGCAAGAAAGAGCGCACCCCCTCCTGCGCGATCAAACAAATACATGGGAGTTAACACAACATATTTTCTCGAAGAATCGTTCTCTCCGAATTCATAAGTATACACAATACATACTTTTGGATGCTCTTATTTTGGAATTTTACAATTCAGCACACAGAGAGAGCAAATTATATTTAGGATCCATGGAATACTATCGTATATAGAATAGACAATTTCACGATTTTTCTTGGAAAGGGGGGTGTATATACACTGTATATGTCTGTTTTTATTTGTTGTGTAGTTCTTTTTAAACATTTTAGTGTGTTTAAGGAGGGATTCTTCTCATATTTCTAGTATTTAAAAATTAATGAAATTTTCATAGATTCAAGAAGACATAGTCATTAAGTGATGGTATCAATAAGATTAAATTTGACCGTTTTATTTTAAAAGCAAGGTCAGGTCAAGGTCATTATCTTTTTCCTTGACCTTAAGAATAAAAGATTACTGTTGCCAGTCATGCGATGCCCACTTCTATTTCAAAAGATTAAATGTTTTTCTTTTTGCATAAAAACATATTACCATATTGGGTCTATCAGATGATACCACCCAATTGATATAAATAATTTAACTAAAATATATATTGGCTAATCCGAATTTCCTCTATTTTTCTTAGATTTTTTGGATATATTAGTTATTTTTATATGCTTCGTATATTTAAATTTTTCTTATTTTCACATATGTTAAAGTGGTCATATACAGAAACAAATTGATACAAAAACAAAAAGTTTTGACCGTTTACTAAGAGAGAAAAAACACTTTTTACGGATTTTTTTCCCATCAAATCCGTACTTAGATTGGAAGCCTTTAAAAGTTAATAAAATTGTAGTTTGTTTGGGAAATCATATTTATTTAATGTATTTTAAAACTTCAGTCCATTATTGTTAATTTTACTTACATTTGAAATTTTCTTTAAGTCTTTGATTGTTTAAAAATTTTAACTAAATTCATTGTTATATAGTAATTTTGAGAAGCAGAAAAGGATATATTTTCATACGCCGCCGTTCCGCCAAAAATATAGTCCCTGATAGATTTCAAACTCAGTTTACCATTTTTATTTAAAGTTGTACAATAACGTTGAGGGAAGAAAAATATGATCTTTTAATTCCCTTACATCTAAATATATAACACATATGAGCAAATACACGTTGAATATTTCATCTAGTCAGAAACCAGGCAAGAATCCCTCCTTAAATCTTATTTCACATTTTTTTTATACAGGATGACGTCTGTAACGAAACAGTAAACACAATGAAAGACGTTAGTGAATGTCCTCTAAACGAAGAGTCAATGACTAAAAGGTCAAAGGGAATGAGGTGCGAGGAAACCCAGGACTTTTGTACCGCCGAAAAATTAGTGTATCACTGTGTACGGTATGGAAAGAAACTCATCGAAGTGTGTGCTCCGAGAAATTATATAACAGGTACATGTAAGAGATAACAGTTAATGCTCGCATTTTCAGAGCTTTTTATTTTCGAAACAATTCCAGTAGTTTCTGTTTTTGTAATGCATTTAATCGTACGAATTGTTAAATCACTTTATAAAATATTGATTACATTAAAATGCTCTTGGCAAGCAACTCCATGTTTGATTGAATTATTTTTCTCACAGGAAAATGCTGCGTTCAATTCAACGTTGGAGTTGGCCGTATTGTAGAGGATTATAGCGTCCCTTGTTCCGAGTGTCCATTTCATTACTATTCCAATGAATCGATATCTTGTAAGCTATTTCCAAAAATATCTATATATATTTATTAAGTATAGTAGATATACTTCTAAACTGTAAACTTGCAATATTAATGTTTACTTTTTCCTTGCATAATTTGATTAGAGGTGCTTTACATGTAGATCTACATAAAATCATTTAATAAAAAAAAATGCATAAAAAATTAAGCATAGAATAATTTTTTTAAAGATATAGTCTCACAGTTGGTGCAACGGTGTGTGAAAACGTAAAGATAATGATTCAATGTCTATATTTACATTTTTAACCAATTTCCTTGACTGCAAATGTGAATTATATTTCAAAATGCCTGTATTATCCTTTGGGCAAGTTAGAATTAATGGAAATGCTATTGCAACAACTTCTGATCAATAAAAGCGTGAATTTTGATTTTCGCTTATGACGTTGCACATCCACGTCGTTCAATGTTTGTGACGTCAAAATAAAACGCATATTTTAACCTTTTGACCCCCTGCCCGTGTTATGGTGTTTTGAATGCTATAGTTTTCCTTGCACGTTATAAGCAAAATACATGTGGAATGTAAATACATGTATTTTCTTTTTACCTTTAACAAACGACCATTATAAATAAAAAAAAAACTGTTTGTTCTGTAAAATACACCAGAAAAAAGCATCTGAACATGTACATATATTTTGAAAGAGAGAATAATATTTATACTTTATATTAAACCATACTTTTGTGAAATACATAAATACCATACTAGAAATCATTTAATTTAAAGTCATGAATTTTACAGACCAAACATGTCTTGAGTCAGTTAAGTCTGTAGCTGCTGTAGAAAGAACCAAGATGACAACAATTGAGACTAGTACTGTCTCTAAGTCTACACCTGAGCCAAGACCTAAGATTCCATCTTATTTTCCAATATCAACGGGATGCAGATATGCAACAGGGCGCCGTAAACGATCTGTAACCTGCAGTGAATTTAGAACAAATACCACTGACGAAAACGCTGATTACATTCATTCCAATGATACAAACGTTGTTGATACTGAAGTTACAAGGAATGTATGGACGTAGCCGTTTATATTTTTTAGTAGGGGTGTCAATTTTGTCAATAAATCATATTCGAATATTCAATGAAAGTATTCGAATATATTCGAATATTCGATAAAATAAATAAAATCTGGTTTATATTAACTGTACATCATCATACTCTCATGGCAGGTTTTTCGTTGGTATTTGGAAGTAAAATTCTTAGGAAAATACTGTTATGTACGCATTTTATATATTAATTCACTTGTTTACTTTTGCATGTATAACATAATAAGTTTCTTCTTCCAGTGCTTATAAAGTTACACTGGCATCCTGATATGTTTGTACGCACGATGTGATAAATTTATAGGTTTCAGCCTTACTATGGCGTTATTTACTATTATATAAATAAAACACCTGTAAAATAAATCAGTTTCATGAGGGGAAAATATTATAAAAATCCTGATTTTAAAGCATTACATGTTTTTGTTTGTTCCTTTATTATGTTGTTGTTATTATTGATATTATTTTCCAGGTCCCTCAGTAATCCTGGTTTCTTATTTGGAATTTTAAATCTCACTGTGTTTGTCTGTGTTGCCCTTGTTGCAGCTTGTCTTGTTTTGAAAGGTATGTCTGAGGACAGATTAATATACAATTGTTTGTATACTACCATAAATTCGAGATTAAAAAGGTTCTTTTTTTCAGGGATTCCGAAAATTGTAAATTTTCCCAATAGATATCATGATAGTAAAACAGATGTGGAATGTTCCAAACTTAATGGTACGTTTACATTTCTTTGAAATTATTTATGTACCTATTAGATACATAAAATTTTCTGATGTGCAGTTTTAAAAAAGAGATTGATTAATGACTTTTAACTGATTTATTTTACCGAAATTAATTGTATTATTTTATATAGATATAGGTTTTTATAGATATGAGATTGAATGTTTGGTTGTTTGTCATAGCAAAATTGATTTGTTCATTTTTGATTTATTTGCAGGGGCGTCAAACAAAGATGCATATATTCAAAACTGTGATGCAAATGAAGCCAAGCAAAGCACTTTGTTAGACAATTTGTCCGCAAAAACGTGAAACCAGTCAGGGGCGCTTCATATTTTGTTTATTTAGGGTTAGACTTGAAATGCAAAGTATCAAAACCTTCTTGAACCGCCCTTTCAACTTAGATTTAGATAACGAGATCTGGATACATGTAATACTACGACCAAGGCAGCTTTTTTCTGATTTTTTTTTAAATTAAGTTTGACTTTTTAACGTTAAACTGTGATATTAATATGTGACTGAACAGATGTAAGATATGTTGTTTCGGTTCTTCTATTATTCTGATATTTTAAGGGAAAAAATCCTGGAAGGAACCATAAGGATTTCTATGCCATGTTCTCTTTCTCGCATATAACCCAACTATTACAAAAAAAATCTTCTTAGGAACAGGAAGGACAGGGATTACTGAGAAATAGAACTCTTGCTTTAGTCTGATTCATCTTGAAAATCGTTAAGCATATTATTTTCTTATATGCTTTGTACATGTATGTGACTGTTTCCTTTTGCAATCTATTTTATTTGCAATCAACATGTTGAAGACGTATATGTTTTTAATACCGTTTTTGTTAACAATAAAATTACGTATTCTCGCAATGATTCAAAATTTCCTTCAAGAAGTCGATTAAAAAAGTCACAGTTGTTTATATTTAGATAGGCTTAGGTCAGTAAATATGTTTGGCCAAATCAGTTATCGTATTAAGCATGGAAACACTCAGTGTTTTAATATAAAATCCTTGGATAATCTTTACCGTTCTATTTTTATTTTTTTAATTTATAGGTAAAAGACATGGAATTAGAATTTTTATTTCTTGACAAGAAAATTTTTTCTTTGCCTACAATTTCTATAATAATCTAGCTATAGCGCCCTTTTCAACTTTGATAGTAAACTGTCAAATGACGTTGAACAATTTTAAAACCTCTTTTTATTCTGTGATTTTCATACATACGCACTAAGCAATGCAGTTTCTCTGATAAGGTAGAGGTTATGTAAGAATATAACTAATTTGAAATTAATGATGACAATGAAAACAATGCATAAAATGATTGCTAGATCCGACCGAAGTTGATTGTGAATTTCTAGCCGTGAATTATGAAGAACTGTACTTCCAAAGAGTCTCGTCAAATCTCAGCAGAAATATATTTACTACTTACGTTAAACATTATATGGTAAAACTTATCATTTATGAAACGCAAGTGAAACATAGGTTGCAACTATTTTAAATCCAGTTACGTGCATATTTTTTTAACACACAACGTTGATTAATTTATACTTGCAAACGTCTATGATAACATTTAGGTTCTAGATATGTGAAGACTTTTCTTTGTAAGATGAGTTTATTAAATAATCAAGCAAGAAATTTTATTGTACTCATAGGCTTAATGCATTTTAATTGTTGTAAGTGATTTTGAAATATTACAAGTTATAGTTGGACATCAATCGGCTGTCATTCTTATCTGACCATCCGAAAGCACTTTTATTTGCTATGATACAGTGCAGGGAACAAATTTTGTTACATTATCGATGCTGATTTGAACGTTTCCTTTGCTTGCTGATTTAATGCTAGTTATCCCTATCCTGATGCTGTTTTATATTTAGGTCAATGCTACCGGAAGTAGATAACTGAATTTCAGCATTGCAGTTTAAAGCAATAAAAATGTCTTATATACCGGTACCCTTTTTATTATTATATTTCATTATATTTTAATATTTAAAAAAAAGTTAACCAGTTTTTCTACCCTGTTTTCCATGTACTTTTACTGAAGAAAAACTAATTGATTTTTTTATGCTAGCAGGTCAATGCTGATTTTAAGAAGGTCAACGTTAGTTATGCTAGTTCTATTCTTTGCTTGCTTATGCTGATCCTGGCAATGCTGTTTTTCTTTAAATGCTGATCCTGATGCTATTTTGCTTATGCTGATGCTGAATTACACAACAAAATTAGTTCCCTGCACTATAACTTGAGTACATCACAATATAACATTTTATGCATATACTTAATGTTCCTTATTTAGCCAAGGAGACTGAGCAAGTTTTTTTTGCTCAAGATAGGCGAAAACAGATCACTTGTATAAGAATAAATAATGTCATTTATTTAGCAAATGACGGAAAGATATATGATAAACAGGTGATCGTTCATAAACATTTTACTATAGTAATAATACATGTGGTGCTGAATACATTTATGACCCTCTTTTATACTGCACATGAAAATAAATATCTAAAAAAACAAAAAAAAAACATATGTATCTGATCGTCGGATATCCGTACTTAGGAGAAAAGGACACCTTTAAAATTGGAATCATAGACTTTAAAGTTAATGCAAATGTCTTGTGATTGTATGAACGTCATATATTGCATAACGTGTGAAGGATGTGGACAATTTTACATCGGAGAAACTGGAACCACTCTCCGTACCCTTGTTCGAATCCCCAGGCAGCATATTCAGAGGCCTCAATACATATAAACAAGTCAAAGTTAGTGAATATACAGACCTATTTAACCGTTGTCCCTTTTTAACAAACTGTTCATTGACAGAATGATAGAAAGAAGAGAAAAGAAAAAAATAGCAAATCTTTAAAACAAGCTTTGGACAGTTTTAAACATTTTTTTTATATTTGTTTAACTTACTTGACGTTATAATATTTCATTATTTCATAAGGCGCTGGTAAAGAAGTTCACAGTTCACCTAATAAGACTTTTAAGCACTTATTTTTTATGTGCATTCAAGTAGACATCCTATTGGAATTGTACATAATATAGTGGAATCATCAATGTTCGTGGGGAATCAATGTTCGTGGATTTCGTGGGTCACCGTTATCCACGAATTTACATTCCTACGAACAAAGATCTTGTAAACATATTTATTCATTGAATTCTTTGCATATACGAGTTTCCCACGAAATTAACGTCCATCGAACCAAAAAGAATTTTCCTGCCAATGAACATTGACCATCACGAATTAAAATGATCCCGCAGTACATAATAAAATAACGTGAAATATATATATATTAACAGTTAGGTCTTATGAAATATTACTCTTTGGCTATACGTGATTCATTTGTGATACAAGACTAAAGCTCATATTTCCTTATTATATAGCAAAGGAATTTTCCAATTGATTAAATTCTTTAAATTGAATAACTCAAAATTAGAATTTTTCCGTATGAGTATTTAAATTAAAACTGTGCAATATCAGCGTCTGTCATAAAAGTGTTCAATATATTACCTCATTCCAATGACCACAAAATTTAACAAAACCTAGTAAATTGCTTATTGGGATTTTGATTGATGAATATAGTTACAAAATTATTAATAATTTCAATTTTGTGTGAATACAGACGCATCATACCTAGCTGCCACTACTCATCATAAATATTGCACTTCAGCGGTTGAGCAGACAACACTTTTCGTTTTTAACGGGGAGTTTGATACTGAAGGCTTCCATTCGGAATGATCAAATTTATAATGAACTCACAGAAATGCTTAATTGTTACTATGATTAACAGTGACCTCAAGTCTGTAGCCTAAAACATTGCAATGTTTTATGCCCCGCCATGGATATGGCCGGAACATATAGTTTTCATGTTCATCCCACCTTTGGTAATTTTTCGCTCACTTGAGCCCTTCGGCTAATGTGAGCTTTTCTGATCAAAGAGTGTCCGGAGTCCGTCTGTCGTGTGTCGTTTGACGTGTGTCATCTGTCGTTTGTCGTCTATTGTCTGTATTTTTTTTCACATTTTCGACTTCTCATAAACCACTTGCTAAATTTCAAGCAAACTTGCCACTAAACAATCTTCCGTAAAGGGAACTAAAGTTTGCTCAAATGAAGGGTCAAGCCCTCTTTCACGGGAAGATGCATAAAAATTGATAAAAATCAAATGGCATCTTTTAGATATATTCTTCCCAATATTCACTGGGCTACAAATACAACTTATCGAATTATGACGCCCAGTGCTTTGGTGGGACCACAAAAGACGATCAA